AGTTCTGGTCGGGTAGGGGCCTTGGTGCGGTGGGCCTTAGGGCCCTTGCCCACCGTGGTCCATGCCCCTGGCTGGACACAGCAGGAGGTCCCAAAGTCCTCCTTTGGCGTGGAGGGGGACTGTGGTCTACCCTCTGCCTCCCGGGGGAGAAGGGCCTGGCAGTAGGAGTCTATCTCCTGCTTGCAGTCCCTGATGGCACGCAGTCTCTGGACTGTGGCCTGGAGCTCCTCCAGCTGGCGCACCAGAGACCCCAAAAGGGAGCAGACCCCACAAGGGGAGGTCACCATGCTCCCAGGCCCCAGAGCCTGAAAAAGGGACAGGCAGCCCCCGCAGCCTGGAGTCTGCTGGAGCACAGTAACTACCAGGCTCCAGTAGACTTGATCAATCAACTGGCTCCGCCTGGGGCTGTCTACCCTGGGGGGTGCGCTGGCAGGGCCCTGGGCCCTCCCGTGCGCCCTCCCGTGCGAACTCTGCGCTAACTCACGCGCCGGCAGAGAAGCGTGCCTGTTTGCGCAGCCTGTTCGCTCGGCTCCGGTTGCGTGGCTCCCTGGGGAGCTGGGCGAAGTAGGGGCCTGGGCGGGGCTTGACCCGGCCCGGCTCCACTCAGCCGCCTCCTCCCACACACACACTAAGGGGTTAGCCCCCTCTCTCCACGGGCCCCGCTTACCCCGGCTGTGCTGGGGGTCAGCGGGGGGCTCCGCGGCTGCTGGAGGTTTTTGGGGGGGCTTCTGGGGGTCTTCAGGGGAGTGGGGGCGCAGCGAGCTTTCACCCGCGCGTCTCTCGCCGCTTCCGAGCCTAACTGCTTGGAACCTGGCTCAATATTATTAAAATTCCTGATATGTATCCTTCCCTGAAAAGGGGAGAGGCTTATTTAAATGTTAAAATATAAATATCATTATGATTACTAAATTAAAATAAAATTGGCTATAGAACAAGCTAGTGTATATCTAACCTCAAATGTTTGCTTCCAGATTACGATGCTGTCAGTCCATTTGCAAGAGGACATTCTCACTGGAAAAATCCTTATGCACATGGTGGCCCTCATCTGCCCCTCACCATCTCCAAAGATGCTAGCATTTCTGCATATCGGTCTTTTGTGCCACAGATTGACCTAACAGCTCCTTTATCCTGCCCAGCTTCACTATCTATCACTCCAGTGCCTTCTTACAGCAGCAGCAGCCAAGAAACCCTGAGTCAAGACTACACAGGTAAATTATTCTTTTTCTCTTCAGGACCTAGTCCAACCAGCAGTTTAAATACACAAACTAAGAAATTCTTCTCGTTGCTATAGATTCACTGCTGAAACTACCACTGATTTCAGTGGGAGAATGACAGGGCCATAAGGACTGCATCCTCAATCCTCACTCTCGTTTTATTTTAGAAAATAGTTCTTTTGATGTAAATGTCCCCACAATAATGGTAACATATTTTGAATACTATCAAGATGGCCAGATAACTTCTTCATTAATCTAAATCAAAGATTTTCAACCTGGGGTTGCAAATGGATACCAGGGAGCTGGGACCATCTTGGGACCATGTTTGCAGGGAGAGGGATGAGGGATGTCAACTTGATTAAAGGCAAGGGAGATCCCAGTATGGAAAAAATGGAGAATTGCTGATCGGAACCTGTTGCTTCAGCCCAGTTGCCTCTGGCTTGAAGTGATTTTTAACATTTGATTGTATTTACTTAAAAAAAAAAAAAAAATATATATATATATATATATATGTATAGAAACATATATTGGTTTTAATCTGTCTGTAATAAACTTCAGAGAATATTATAATTTGTGTTACTGCTGCTGCAATGTTAATATCTAATACATAATTAACACTATAATTAGAGTGACTGATGAGAAAACTAAAGTATGCAGGAAAAGAGTAATGGGCACTAGAAGCTCTGTGGAAGTGCTGAAATCCCAAGAAATCTTACCTTGCACATGTCACAGGATATATACAGTAGGGCTATGCAAAGCTTTGGTCACTGTTTCGATTTGGAGGAGATTCATCCCGATCCAGTAGATGAATCTCCAAGTCTGAATTGAATCAAGAGACCCATTAATCTTTCTGAATTGAATTGGAAGTTTCTGATTCGATTTGGAGAGATTCTATGATTCAGCCATAGACGCAGCTTTATATGTTGTTTCTATATACCTTGAGGTACCAGGTCTGGCTCATGAACACGGACATGGTGGGGTGGATGGAGCATCCCACGGGAGCATGGGGGTGGGGTCCCCCTAACCACTTGATGGCAGACCCAGAAGTGGACTAGAACTACTTCTGGTCCACTTCTGGGTCCACCACAGAGCGTGCAGGGGACCCCCCATTCCCTAGCTCGGCAATGGTGCCTCCTCGGTCTGGGAGGGGCACCCGGAGTCGCCCCACAGCTGAGCACTGAGCCGGGAGGTGCGGGGTGGCTCCACTTCTGGGGGTACTTCCAGTCCACTTCTGGGTCTGCCACCAAGCACATGGGAATCCCCCCGTGCTCCCGTGGGATGCTCCATCTGCCCCATCATCTCAGCATTCACGAGCTGCACCTGGTACCTTGAGATATGTAGAAAAAACATATAAACTGAATTGCATATTCTCCAAATCAGGATTGAATCTTCAGATTCAGATTCAGCTGAATTGAATTGGGATAGTAATCTGAATCAGCAAATCAAATCACTGTCCCCTGAATTGGGCCGAATCCAAAACCGAATCTAATACTGCCCACTTTGCACATCCCTAATACATAGCTGTCTTGTCTGGTGTGGGCCCTATGTGCTGCGCCCTAACTGTGTGGGGATTTTGGGGCATACAGTATAGGGTCCTTGAACACAGCACTGCATTTCTTTCAACTGAAAATCCCAGTTTCAAGCAATCCAGTTACTACTCTGAATGCCTGATGTTCTTCTCTTATACACTTAAAAGTGTTTAGGCAACTGCTAAGCATTTAGCACAAGGTTAAGGTTGTTACTTTCAGCAGCTGTCTACATATATATTACCAATTAAGAGAAGTGTAAATCTTCAAAGCCCCTTTTCCCAGGACAATGCATCATTAGCTGCATAGATCCTGTGCTGCTGCCTGGAAACTTAATTGATATAGCAGTTTACCCTGCCACCTCTTTTTGGTGATAACAGCACAATTTCTGCTCAACTTCATAGCACATTAACTAGATGAGGAATAGTGATTCCTATACTTAGTTATAAAGCTGTAATTGCTTTGTGTCAATGCATTGGAAAATCAATTAAATGTTACTCTTAACAGTTCACAAACACTGCCATCTAGAGTTTTTTTATATGAAGGAAAAAATACTAATGAAAAAAATGAACTCGATTGTAAAAATTCAGTAAAGGCCAATAGGAAAACTAGTCACAGGGAGCAGACTTAAAATTAAAAAGTAAGGAATAACACAAAAATCAGATTTCATTTCTGGTACAATTAGTCAAGTGCAAATCACCAAGTCCTTCTTTGAGTTTTAATTTGCAGCAGTCTTTCATGAGTTCAGATCCACTACTCCTAGATATGTTTTTTTATATTGAATGATTGTTACAATACTGATTTATACACTACTTTATTTTAATTATTTGTAGAATCTGATGGACCAATGAGGATTAGGACCTCCTTACATTAAGAGCTGCTCAAACATACAGACACAGACACAGACCCTGCCCTGTAGAGCATAATATTTTATATTAGAGATAAAACAGAATAATAAAGGATAACATGCAATCAAATGGTCAGTTGTTCCTGAAGTTAGATGACTTGTAGAGGTGTGCAAAGCAGGCTTTATTTAATTCGGATTTGGCCCAAATCAGGGACAGTGATTTGATTAATTGATTTGGATCACTGTCCCCAATTTGATTCAGCCAAATCCAAATCTGAAGATTTGATGCTGATTCAGAGAATCAGTGATTCATCCACAGACACAAATTTAAATGTTTTTTCTACATACCTCGAGGTACCAGCACTGGGGTGGATGGAACATCCCACAGGAGCAGGCCCACGTGCTCATCAGTGAACCCGGAAGTGGACCGGAAGTGCTTCTGGTCCACTTCCGGGTCCACTGGGGAGCACTCCAGGCCCCCCCCCGCATCCCCCCCATTGCTCAGCGATCGGCTGCGGGGGGACCCCAGGTGCCCTCTCAGACCTAGGTGGCACCAGTTGCCAAGCTGGGAGGATGTGGGGGTGGGGGCTCTGTGCACTGCCTGGCAGATCCAGAAGTGGACCAAAAGTGATTCTGGTCCATTTCTGGGTCTGCTACCGAGAGTGCTGGGGAGCCCCCTGTGCTCCTGTGGGACGCTTCATCCACCCCAGCATCATAGCATTGATGAACTCCCTGGTACCTTGAGGTATGTAGAAAAAACATTTAAAGGTGTGTCTGTGTCCGAATCTCTGAATCTTTCCAGATCTCTCCTAATCGATTCAGAGGGTTCCAATTCAATTCAGAGAGATTAAAGGGTCTCCTGATTTGATTCAGAGATTCAGCCACTGCATTGGGCCAAATCTCTGTTGAATTGAATCAGGGACTGAAGCTTCGCACAGCCCTAATGACTTGCTAGAGCAGATGAGAATGTATTACATGTGAACTCAGCACAGTGTGCATTCTCTGATAGGAGGTGCTATGTTTAACTGAGCAGCTTAAGATACTGAATCTTCAGAACAGTCACCTGGTATATAGTCTCAAAATTAGTCTTCTCTTGGTTTCTTTAAAAAAAAAAAAGATAACAACTTTTGACCAGTGGAAAATACCTTGTCCAATTAAATCAGAAGCCAATTTTTCTATACGTAGAAAGTAAACAATTTTAGAACACTATGGCTTGCACTTGTACCTATCTAGGTCATTTTAGTCCCAAACAATCTGGGCAAGCTGTTCATGAGAATCTATTGGGCTGTTTAATGTAAAATACCATGGTACTTTTATTTTCACAAAGTTAGTTATCTACTGTGGATTTACAACAGTCCCTTTATAGAATTTTGAAGAACTTCTTTGAAAAATAAGCCAAGCAAAAGCAAGCCAGAATTAATCCTGTCTGTAATGTGGAGCTAAATTGTTTTTAAAAATGAAATTGTTCTCATCCAATTGTACGGGCCTACTCCCGATCCCATCCATGTCGCCATGTGCGGGTCGGGAGCGATCCGGGCCCTTTTTCGCTCCGCGCAGGCTGTGGCCAGCAGCCCAGGCATGCTGGATCGGAGAGAACGGGCGACATGCTAGAATTAGGCACGGACCCGTAATGGTTGATTCAAGATTGTTTACTTACACCGAAGATGGTCGCGGTGTAGGCTGGACAGTTTCCCAGGCACAGCTCCGATTAAATCCAGGGAGAGGCATACGTCAAGGATGTCGAATGGCGACGGGGAGAGGCTAGAGGCTGATCAGACCTCTGTTGCCTGCTTGAAATGCACTGGGTCCAATAGGCTCCGCAGCGCTTAGAGATCTTCACAAGACGTGAAGTCTCCTCCTCCTGGTGTTCGTGGAGCCCTCCCTTGCAGGGGTTCTCCTCGGAGTTCTCCAACTTGGGCGGAAACCACTCAAGCTTTTTATACGGCTAGCAAGCCAATCGCTAGCTGCCACATGTGAATAATTTCACGCAAGCCAATAATGGGGCTCAAATTAGAATACAAATGGCGGGAACTCTTTGCAACAAGCATTTCTTAGCTGCAAAGAAGAAATGCACACTGCAAAGAAAGCTACGAATTGGCAGGAAAATAATTCAGTGGTGCCAAAGCACACACAAAAACAAAAAATCACACCCTTGGGTTGTGACACCAATGACATAGCTTCAGAAGTTACCCATTTTCTGTATGTAGATTGTCATTTTTTTTTACTAGATGCCAATACTAAGCATAATGGCTTAGACATAAAATGTGGCTCATGGTAAAAATCAGGATTGTTTTAATTGAAAGTTTAATACGAATGCTTTATGCATTCTTAAAATACCCAGGCATAATTTATTACAAAAAATTCAATGTTGTTTCAGGGAGTGAGAGGGGGGTGGGAATGGGACTGCCTTGGTTTACATTTCAGTGTTGAATGCAAGGAGATGCCGTCACTGACAATGAACTATTGACACAATAAGGTGTAGTGTAATATGATATGGTTCAAAGGATACTTCAGCTAATAGCATAGAACTGCAACTAATAGCATTTGGATTACAGGTCCTTTATGTGCCATCTCAGTAGGTATCTCAAATTTTGAATGTTAATCTCATTTTAGTGTTCATG